CCAAACCACCACCACATTTGGTTAAGAATTGCGGTTGAATCGCTATACAAAATGACTAATATAAAAGAGAAACATTGTGAACTACAAGAAGAAGAAGGACTAAAAAATCACGAGTNAATCTGTATCTCTAGTTTTCACAGGTTTAGGATAAATACATTTGTGCCATTTGCTTTATTGTGCTATAGACTAACTGAAAGCTAGTGTTGTTGCTTAAATGGCATTTTAGAATTATTCAGACATGGATATTGCATTTAATCAACATTTTAAAATTATTGTGGAATAAATTCTCTAAGTGAAAACATTTGCCAACGCCACTTGCAGAGGAGAGAGAATATGTACTTCTTGCGACAGTCGAGTTAATTTTTCCGAAGACCACTTTCCAGGACGAGAAAGCTCTACTTAGGCCTCCCATATTACAACACCATTATTATTATTTCAAATGGCGGGCGTTTTGAATAGTTATCATTAGCCATTCAGCTGGCTTCGGGATTCGTAGAGGGAGGAACAACAAAGTGAGAAAAATTCGAGAGGGAGAACAGAAGAGTGGTTCACAGATGTAGAAGAGACAGACAGACACAAAGGTAAAGAAAGGGTGAGGTGAGTACTGTGAAAGTTGTGGAATATGACATACGGTGGGGTCATGGTAGTTTGAAGTCAGAAGTCAAATGCCAGTTAATAGACATTTTTGGCGTATGAGTATACTTTGCCCAGGGTGCACCACGTGGAGATAAGTTTATCTCACACCCCATATTGCAACATGGTATTTTAAAGAGCTAAAGAAGATTTCAACAAAGATTCCAATGGTGTAAAACCAGTTAATGAAAGAAATTTTGTGTCACTCTTCACGCACTCGAGCCGGTATTAGAAAAAATGCCAAGACCAATTTTGGAAAGGCTCTTTAGAGCTAATTTTTGGTCATTGACACCATGGAGCCTCCCTAGTGATTGACTTAAATTCTGCCCCTCTCTATTTAGCTAGGCTTATACAATGCAGTTGACTAATCCACTCACTGGATGAGCCCTGATGGGAATCTACCAAGCGACTTTTGGCATGGCAGGTATGAGAGGCAGCCACTGTACCACCGGTCTATAAATCGGACTGATAAGAGTTGTAAGGACTGTCTTACATATAGGTCTTTGAGTATGTCCAAGAGACTCCCTTTTGCTTATGAGGTTAAACGTTTGTAAGCTCTTCTGTGTCCTAGACAGATTACTTAAGGTCATAAAGTGGCTGACAATTTAACAGCATGTTGTGGTTAGATGTGTAACCATCCAAGATTTTGTCTTTTTTTCTAATATTAATGCTACCCAAGAAGGTGCAGAAAGTCCGAATTTCGCGAATTAGCATTAATATTCCAATGTTTTGCGAAGTTTATTTTGAATGAAAAGTAGATTATCTGAATTACATTAATTAGGTGTATTTATGGCTGCAGGAAATATTGACATCACCAAACTTAAATCTTCCTCTAAGTTTGCAGCTACTTGTATTCCATCTGAAATTAATCTATGACATTTTTTCCAAATAAGATACAATCAAATAGATGGTCCAATTGAGCAAATTTTTCGACATCTTTTTTTACATTTGACCACTCTTTGAAATCTCCATAATCCAAACATACCAAAATTTGTGAATTGTGCAGTCATTCAGCTCGATGTAACCTTCCCTTAGTTAAGTTACTAATTGCATTCATTGTTTACTCCTATTCGTCAATATGTACTCAGTGCATATTCTTCATTCGCAGTATCTTCATCTGGGTGAATTATTCTTAGCTATGTGACTGTAGCTGTGTAGGGCCAAAGTTTGAAACACCCTGATTTCGTGTTCTTTCCAAAGAGAAGAACCACCAAATAGCTCGTCATCATTCTTACATAAACTGATGTACTCTGGGGCTATTCAATTCAAATATTTGATTTTATTCATCATTTTAAGGCGGTCTCAGGCCAAGCATTAATTTGATAATTTTATTCCAGCATAAAATGTCCGCTGCTGCAGGTTGTGCACCTCGTTAAAAATTTCCAATTATTTGGCAAGAACATGTCGAAAGTAGAGGTCAAATTATTATATTAAACACTTATAAATACCGAAACTAAAGTTTATTTCAAATGGCAGGCATTTTGATAGTTATCATTAGCCCTTTAGCTGACTTCAGGCTTCACAGAGGAGGAGGGGGAACATCAAAGTGACAAAAAGTCGAGAGATGTAAAAGAGACAGATAGGCACAAATGTTGAGTAAAAGGTAAGGCGAGATCTGCTGAAATGGTGGAACAGAAGAGTGTTCCAAAGATGTAAAAATGACAAACACAAAGGTAGAAAAAGATGAGGTAAGTACTGTAGAAGTAATTGAATATGACTTACAGTGGGGTGATGGTAGTTTGAAGTCAGAAGTCAACTGCCGGTTGATAGACTTTTTTTGCCATATGAGTAACGTTGCCCAGGGTGTACCACATGGAGGTAAGTCTATCACACACCCCCTGAAACTGAAGTATAGTTATGTACTTTCCTATGGGAGGAAAACCCCGCGATTATTTCTGCGGAATTGAAATAGATCTCTGTTAATCTACTATAGAGGTGTTCACTTTCATCTAAGGTCGTACCAACATTTAAAAAGCTTTCCACATCGAATAATCAACATGGATCAGGGGATTTTAACTTCAAAATTAGGATTATTTGATCAATAAAAGTATCAATTATTACAGAATACACATGGCTCAAATTGTACAAATATGCCA